GATTTACCATCGAAACGAATTAACGAATCAGACGAACAAATTTTTTCTACTGCTGGAACCGAACTACCGTTCGAGCATGAAGTTGCCTTACGTGCCAGTTAAATCAAGCCCGTCAATAGTGGCAAATTTATGTGAGATATCATTGAGGTCATCAAGATTGTTGGGACAAATGATATGCCATTTCAACCATTCCCAGGCTGGCCATATGAATACTTTCTTTCTTGCGAGAATCTACAAGTCCACCAGCTGTCAGCAAAGCGACAACGTGTCTGTCCGTCGGATTTTACTTTCTGGCTTGATAACAGTGGTAAATCGCAGCTGCTCATACGACCTGTTTTCTTTTTGGATACGAAAAAACTCTCCAAGCATCCTTTGTTCCATCGCTATCCATCATAGTCGGAGTTTGTTCCCCTGTCTCTTCAATGGCAGCGCTTAGCTAACCGCTAAGGAGAGTAAAACACCATTAATCCGGGTCGTAAAGTAAGCCATGAAACCGGATTTTGAGATAACTTTCATGATTTTAGTAATCAGAAAAGTTAACGAACAGTGTCAAGCGTGATTTCATTTCTTTTAAGTCCAACGATTTCCGTAATTGCATTGATAAGCGTTTCATTTGCCTGGCCGTCACGTGGTGGCGCTGCTATTGCAAGTTCAATTTCACTGGCTCCAATATCTTAATATTTCAGCGATGGCATGGACTTGAAAATTTTTTGAAAAATTTTTTATGGGTTGAAAGAACTGAAAACTGACTTTCTCGGAAGGCGGTTATTATGCGTTTTATGCTATGTAACAGCAGTACAAAACGCATACTGTCACGGGGTTGTCTGTGTATGTTTGTATGTATGTGTACGCAGCAACTTGTCCGCAACTTTCAACTTGGGGACCACAAAAGCTATGAAGCTGAAAATTTAGGGGAACGTTCCGCACCCACGTGCGATCTCGCAAATTTAAATTCAGCTTTCCCATACTCACGGGCAACACGTATGACCCCGCAAAAGTTTGGGCGTGTAAAATTATTATCACGGGAACTACGGAAGTTAGAAGGCTGAAATTTTGCGAGCGTGTCCCCTGCCCATGTGCTACCCAGGAAATTTAAATTCAGCCTTCTTTTGCCCGTAAGTAACACGAACGGCCCCATGAAAATTTTGGCAGGTAAATTATTGTCTCGGGAACCACAAAACCTGTGAAGCTGAAATTTTAGGGCAATGACCCCTTTGCCCACGTACGACCTTGCAAATTCAAATGCAGCGTTCTCACGCTCTCGGGTATCAGCTACGGTCCCGTGGAAATTTTTGTGGAGAAATTATTATCTCAGAAACTATAAAAGCCAAGAAGCTGCAGTGTTGCGGTAGTGCCGGTGCGTGAAATTTTCAACTATTTTTCAACGTTTCAGGTATTTTTGCACAAAGTACAAAACAGTGAAAATCATTAAGAGGCAATCGTTTGGTGGACGAACTGCA